TGTGTGTGTGTGTGTGTGTGTGTGTGTGTGTGTGTGTGTGTGTGTGTGTGTGTGTTCTGGTGTTGCTGCTAATTTTTTAATATATATTTTTGATCACTGCTGGACTATACAACAGATAGACTAAAGTGGTGCTATAGATACTTAAAGCAAACAAACAAATTATTATTTTTTTATTTTCTTGAAAAGAATGTGACGTGTGATATTTCATGTCCTTAGGTAACTATACACATATTTTACTCTTTATTATTCTCAACACATTTCAGTGATTAGGGCATCTAGGAGTTTATCCAGTGCTAACTTGCTTATTTTCATTGAATTTCTGGTAGAAGAAAATTTAAATATGTGAGTTTAAATTTCTATCTAAGAAATCTAAATTTCTACAGAAATCTAAACTTGAATTTTAGAAAATTAATTTCTGGTGGCAATGCATAGAACACATTTTATAGTGAACAAAAATGAAATCAAGAGTAAGGTAGTTCAAAAGGTATGTACCTATTTCTATCTGTCTATCTATCCATCCATCAATTTGAAATATGTTTGAGATTACTTTCAACCAAGTCGTTTAATTCAACCAAGTTAGATGAATTCAACCATAACAGTCAAAGCAAAATGAAGGTTGACTCCTACTTGGCCTCAGAGAAACGATAGCAATAAAAACATTGTAAGTAGTAATCATAACTATTTCTAACTATGTGTTTTTGTTTATAATATATAACTATTATGGCTTTATTTAAAACATCAATAACAAATAGAATTAGTGCCAAATAGTATTAATAGCTAGCACTTATTTTTCACTCTCGTGTTATGTGGTATTCTAAGCACATTTAGAGTAACATATTTAATATTAATAACAACATATAAAGTCATATTTTTTAAATATATTACTTTTACACAGATGGATGATAAAACTAAGATGCAGACATATCAATAACTTGTTCAAGGCTACAAAGCTAGTATGTGGTACCACTGAAATATGAACCTTAACTTCTACAGATCTTATTCCCTTAACTACAATATTTTACAATCTGTAGTTGTTATGAATGTTTATGTAATATAATGCTTAAATAATAATGTTTACATAAAACAATAAAATCAATGTTCATAAAACATATTTTAATGATTTAAACATCATATTTTCTCTATATATTTTTTCCATTTGTGTAAGTCTAGACAGGAAGTCCACACTATCTTAATTGAACATGTATAAACAGAATAAACATGTACATGGGAAGAAGAACTGGGATAAAGACACACAAAATATCAGTGTGACAGTGAATGAGATATATTTTAATTTTATGGGTTAACATGTTAAAGAAACATCCACAGTGAGAGTTGCCTAAAATCTAGCATTAACTTACATCTTCATATGACAAAGAAGCTTCTTAATTGCAATCTTCATGTCCTTATTGCTTAGGCTATAGATTATGATGTTGAAAAAGGGAGCAAGAACTGCAAACATCAGTGCAATGGCTGTGTCCAAAATTGGTGGGAAAGTGGCAGAGAAACGCAGGTACATGAGGGACACACTGCCATAGAACATAAGAAAGACACCAAG